GTTTTACTTTTAAACTGTAAGTGTATTTAATTTAGTCATTAGTTATAAAAGTTTAGTTATGATGTAAATACAATACAAATTAAACCAAGATTTATAATAATTATCATTTTGATCCATACATTGGTAATGTCTGACTGGGCCTCGTGTCACTTTATGTTGAACAAATTGGGCCCCGAGGTCAAAAAGGTTAAGAACCTTTAGGTTTAAACATCAGACAAACAGAGGATCTTCCCTTGCTCTTTCAGGGCTCCAGAGATTTTGTTTAAACCCGAGCTGATTGGACGGGACCAATATGGGATGCATGAGAGTGTCTATAAGTCGATTGCGTGTTCAGACCTGGACTTGCGGCGCAGTCTCCTGGGAAACATTGTCCTGTCAGGTATCAGCCAGGTTCTGAGCGTTTAATGTTCTGTTTAGTGTTTTGACCCTTGCTGACTGTCTCTGCCCTCTCTGACTGTAGGTGGGAACACCCTGCTGCCAGGCTTTCCCCAGAGGCTCCAAGCTGAAATTAAAGGCCTGGTTCCTGCAGACGTGGGATCATCGGTTACTGTGACRAGCCCCAAAGACAGAGACTTCTTGGTGTGGAGTGGAGGCGCAGTTCTGGCCAGCATGCCCACCTTCAGCTCGGCATGGATCAGTCAGGAGGAATACGAGGAGCATGGACCACAGATTGTTTTCAGGAAGTGTTTTTAGTTGGACTGTTGCAGGTCCTTTCACCAAGTCCTGATGTTTCATCGCCGTCCTGATGTCAGCTGTTAGTTTAACTCTGATCATCAGACGTAATTCTTTCTGTGAAGATAAATTAGTCTCAAACGTACTCACAAACGAGCACAAGAAGATTCACAAATGCAGTAACACTAAGTGTACACATACCAAATTGCACAAGTAGAAATCATGTTCCAGATTTACAAACGTAAAGCTGAATTCAAGGCTGTTAAAGCTGGGGCATCTTGGCCTTACTAGATTTACTGTTATTAGAAACAACATACAGTATTTCAGCTTTGGTAAATTGGYTCATAACCCTACAATAAAATACATATGCTTACATTGATATCACTGGATATTAAAAATATTACCTCTGTGGGCTGTATGAATGAAATAAACTACCCATACTTACATACTACCCAAAACAACCAGAAGAATGTGGAGATAAATTATATATACTGTGTATGTGTGT